CCTCTCCCCCCCCCCCCCCCAGTTCCGGTGTCCCTGCATATATATTTACATATTTGTAAATATATAATATATATAGAATATATACAATACAACATATGATATAGTTGTTGCATATTAAGTTTGCATTGTATTTTTTTGGGGGGGTTGTTGGCTCGGAATCGCATATTTTGGGGAGGGAGGGGTAAAAAATTAGCAAAAACAGTGTCACATATTTTGTGAATAGCCTCGTAGTGATTATACGGGTTCAAAACATCGAAAAAATAGACATTGTCTATTAATATTTCTTTGGTTCAAAAACACACTGTCCTCGTGTTCAACACACTTCTCGTCTTTGATTTCTACCTTCCTTGCTCCCCCCTGATTGGTCGAGAATGCTGTCCCCATTTCCCGCGCATTTCGCGAAATCTTTATCGAGCGTGATTCGAAAATGGCGTACAGGATTTCAAAAATATTTCGTCTGTTTTTGTAGAAGCAATATAATTTAAACCACATACTTATTAACAACAGATAAAGTATTCAAGCTTGGGGTTTAAACAGGGAAAAATACGATGTTAATATCATGTTAAAGAGACTTTAATTGCTCTTTAAATATGTCAACAAACAATGCAGAAGAAAGCGACGAAGAGAGCTTTGTTGTTGTAAAGTCATCAAGGAAGACAAAAAGACGTCTTTCTGAAAGCGAAGAGGAAGCACAAGATAAGACAACGCCAGAGAATAATGTTCACAACACTACACCACGGACTTCTGAACGTCTTCGCAAGAAGTCTCAGAGAGAATACAGTATACCCAGTCGCAAGGAAACTTTGGATAAAATTGATGTCAAAAATATAAAATATGAAGACAGGAATCTGAGACCTAGACGATTAATAAATGATTTGGTCAGAGGGTAAGTTCATAGTTCTTTGTGAAACGCCACCTACACAGGCAAAAATCTCGCATCTTGTAACAAGTCTGCCAGCAAGCCATCAACAAGATGTATTCACACTGCTTGTCACAAGTTGTCAACAGGTTTGGAATAACTTGTTGACAACTTGTAACAACCTTGTCGAAATTATCACACTTGTTGCAAGGTTGTTCTGACAAGTCTGTTTATACATGCTTGATATAACAAGATTGTTACAACCTTGTGTTGACAACTTTGTAACATCCTTGTTATATCATGGCTGTAACAAACTTGTTGGAACAACCTGTTAACAAATTGTAGCAAGCTTTATGGCATAATGCCTTGCATGGTTCTTCGAGTCACGTTTGCGCCTCGCCCATTTAGGGTCTCCGAATAATTGACTTTATAATTAGACTTTGTACATATACTGTAGTGGACCCTAATAAAGACAATAATAATAATAATTATCAGACTTGTTACGATGTTGTTCTGACAAGTCTGATACAGTCGTGATATAACAACAATGTTACAAGGTTGTATTGTAATGATATTGTTATAACAACCTTGCAACAAATTTGATAATATCAACAAGGTTGTTACAACTGTTTACAAGTTGTTCCAAACTTAATTTTGTTGACAACACAACTTGAAATAGTTTTGGTGGGACTTAATTAGATCTTATTTAAGATCTGTTGTCCTTTTCCTTCAATCATTTGTTAATATATGTTAGTATAATTACATAGGTGATTATTGAAAATTCTCCACGCTGATTGGTTGCCGTTAAGGTGATTATTACGCGATAATCACCTAAGCGATTTTCAAAATGGCGGCCGAAGTCTTTTTGTCAATTAAATGACGAAGAAATGTGTATTTTCTTATTTTTTTCCAAATAATCACCTATGAAATTATACTAAAACAATTATTCACCTCAGGCTCGGTGATTATCGTGAATAAAAACCTCGACTTCGTCTCGGTTTTTATTCACCGATAATCACCTCGCCTTCGGCAAATAATTGTTAATTATTGATTGTAAAGTTAATAAAAAAAACCAAAAACAACTTTTTGACGGCTGGTGTAGTGACAGACATGTGTAGCTAGTGCATGCTAGTGTCAATAATTTGTTTTGAATTTCTAGTTTAAACAGATATGTGACAGATACATTCGAGACATTTGAGAGTGACGACAGCCCACTGTCAGACTTTATTGATGACTCTGAAATCAAGACACACAAGAAATCTCGTAGAAAGAAGAGGAGAAGAAAGAGTGGAGAAATATCAGATGAAATTGCATCAGGAAGGAAAGATGGTGAGACAAGTACTGGTAGAAAGTCGAGGTGCAAGAAAAATATTGAATCGAGTTCAGACGAAGAAGCGCAATCAGAGGACAAAAATGACATTCATGATGAAGTAGCCACTCATACGAGGACAAGGAAATGCAAGAAAACTAAGCAATTAGGTTCAGAAAAAGGAACCCAATCTTGTGCAATAACTACTCGTACAAGAAGAACAAGAAAACAGAAAGCTGAACAGTTGAGTTCAGATGACACAGAGGAAAACATTGATTGTGAAATAACTCCTTCTGGAAGAAAACAAAGCCTTAAGAAAACTCAATATACTAGTTTGGATGATAAAAAGAAGCCAAAAAAACTGAGTTCTGGGGAAGACAGCAGCACTGAGGTGGAAGAAAGGAAAAAAGTAAATAAACATGGCAAATATGTATCCTCTGTTTCTGATGATGCCAAGTCTAGCAGCTCTGACGACAATGACAGTGGACATATCAAGTTACAAAAGAGCAAAAGGCGTTCAATCTCAAACAAAATAGACTCAGCAGAAAGTGATGAAGAGCCAAATCGCAAGTTAGTCAAGAGAACAAGAAGTGCAAAGAAGGAGAAAGAAGAAGCACTTTTGGCAAAGCTGACGGCAAAACGAAAGATGGAAAAAGAGAAAGAGCAAAATAACAAAGACACCAGTGTTGTTGAAGATCTGGTTGATGACAGTACGACACAAAATGTGTTATCATATGATACTGAAGAAACACAAGACGATAATGTTCTCGATTCAGCTGATCTTTTTGAAGAAGGAGAATCTGATCGTGAATTTGTTGTTGACAATGATTACGAAGACTCTGACTTTAAACATCTTCACAATGGAGTTGGCAATGATGTCTTAAAGCTGAAAGAAAAGAAATCTAATAGTTTTCAAAGGATCCGCATTCCTGAGTCAGATGAGAGTGACAATGAGACTGTTGTGGAATCTGCAACATTGGATGTATGCAAAGCTATCAAAGAAAACAACATTGAACGAGTAAAATCTGTACTTGAAACAAGCCCAAGTATTGTTCATGAGCTTGGGCCAAAAAGACGTACATTGCTACATTACGCTGTTATGTCTAGTTCATCTGAGATTACAAAACTCTTGCTTAATTTAAATGCTGATATGTTTGCTATAGATTCGTATTCCCTACAACCTATTGCATATGCTTTATTAACTGGCCATATTGACTGCCTGAGGCTTCTTCTTGAATATACAGACCTCGAGGAGTTGAATAAAATGTACATGCTTAATTTCAAGTTTAGCATATTGCATTTTGTCATCCGTGAACAGACAAGTTTCCCTGACTTGAAATGTGAGGTTGTAGGCGACCGTGGATTGGTGCAATGTTTGAGGAACTTGTTTGAATGCGACAAAGCTTTGTTCTTGAAGTTAATGCAGGAGAAAGATTCTCAAGGCTTTACCCCTCTTGTGGCAGCCATTAGTACTGGAAATTCTCAGGTAACATCATTGAAACCAATAAAAATTTAAAATGTTGTAGTTTATTGCACTTTGATGGCTACTCATTTGCTAAGATAACACTAGAACAGCCAAGATCATAGCAACAGGGGTGAAAATGTACTGTCTTGCTTGACCCTTTAAGTGGCAATGCACCCTACTTTATTATTTTAAAGGGAGAGTGCTCCCATTCAGTGGGTTAACAAGTGAACCAACATTGTTTTATAGTGTGTTGAGTATCTGCTGTGTAATGGCGCATCAACGGATGACTATTGTAGCTTGAATGGAGGCAGTCTGCTACATCTTGCAGTTGAATGTTCTCTTGAACAAGTAGACAGAACTTCATGTTTGAGAGTCTTGCTGAACACAAGTTTGAAGCATAAAGTTAATCATGGTGATAATTCAGGTCCATAATTTTTGTTATAATTAAATTACCATGATCATCACTACCTAATTACCACCACAATTATCATCATCATCACACCCTAATTACCACCATCACTACATACAGTAATTATCATCACTACCTAATTATCACCATCATCACTACCATCATGATCACTACCATCATTACTACCATCATCATCACCCCCTAATTACCACTATCATCACTGCCAGCATCACCATCGTCATGATGATTTATAAGCTGCTGCATACCTCTATATTACCAACATTCTTTCTTTGTACCATCTTGTATTTTAGGTTTCACACCATTGATGCATGCTGCACAAAGTGGCAACCATGATTGTGTTTTGGCATTGCTTGAAGCTGGGGCATCAGTTTCATGTAAAGTAAGTTCTCTGCTATTTACATGCTACTCTTTACATGGTGTTGATGGTGGTAATGATGGTGTATTGGTGTTGATGGTGGTAGTGATGGTGGTAATATTGGTGTTGATGGTGATAATATTGGTGTTGATGGTGGTAATATTGGTGTTGATGGTGGTAATATTGGTGTTGATGGTGATAATATTGGTGTTGATGGTGGTAATATTGGTGTTGATGGTGGTAATATTGGTGTTGATGGTGGTAATATTGGTGTTGATGGTGGTAATATTGGTGTTGATGGTGGTAATATTGGTGTTGATGGTGGTAATATTGGTGTTGATGGTGGTAATATTGGTGTTGATGGTGGTAATATTGGTGTTGATGGTGGTAATATTGGTGTTGATGGTGGTAATATTGGTGTTGATGGTGGTAATATTGGTGTTGATGGTGGTAATATTGGTGTTGATGGTGGTAATATTGGTGTTGATGGTGGTAATATTGGTGTTGATGGTGGTAATATTGGTGTTGATGGTGGTAATATTGGTGTTGATGGTGATAATATTGGTGTTGATGGTGGTAATATTGGTGTTGATGGTGGTAATATTGGTGTTGATGGTGGTAATATTGGTGTTGATGGTGGTAATATTGGTGTTGATGGTGGTAATATTGGTGTTGATGGTGGTAATATTGGTGTTGATGGTGGTAATATTGGTGTTGATGGTGGTAATATTGGTGTTGATGGTGGTAATGATGATGGTAATGATGAAGATGGTGATGGTGATGGTGATGATGATGATGTTAACGTGAATTTGTCTCAAAATGCAGTCTTATGGAGCCTAAATGTACAATTTTTTACTAGGACCTTCGTGGTACTACAATGGACCTATTCCCTAATGAACAAAATTTTGATCTAGACAAAGATTTTATCACAGTTTGAAAGAGCATCACAAAATTAGTAATATTCCGAAGTTTCGTTGCGAAATGTTGTAAAACGCGGATAATATAGCCCTGCGAAGTTTGCAGTCATTTTGTGTTATACGCACGGGAAATTGATACCTTTTTTCAGAAAGCGGTATCAATTTCCCGCTACAAAATGACTGAAAAACGGCAAACTTCGTAGGGCTATATTATCCGCATTTTCCAACATTTTCCAACGAAACTTCGGAATATTACTAATTTTGTGATGCTCTTTCAAGCTGTGATAAAATCTTTGTCCATACTTGTCTAGATCCAAATTTTGTTCATTAGTGAATAGGTCCATTGAGACACTCAGATTGTTAACTATGTACTTGTGCACACTCTCAGCATGATTATTTTGTAGGACTTTCATGGTACCACAAGTCTTCACTTGGCTGCAGCCAGTGGTGATACCCAGGGTGTTAAACTGTTACTTCGTTATGGTCATCAAGTGGACTGTCTTGACAGCTGTGGATGGCCGCCATTACTGTATGCTAATTTTGCTGCTCAAGAAAGCTGCGTGCTGTCCCTGATGGAACCAAATCCCAAACAGATATTTGTTCTTGGAGATTTACTCCAGAGAGGGAAATCTGAAGCTGCCAAGGAACGCAATTTTAAAGTAAGAATAAAGTCTCCTGCGTCTATGTAAGATTTCTGTCTCTGAACATAATGTAAAGTGACAGTTGGTTCAGGCGTAAAAATCTCACTGCTTGTCAACAAGATGTGTTTGCACTGCTTGTTTCAGTTGTCTGGAACAAGGTTGATGTGAAGCGCAAGAAGTCCCTTTACAAATGCCAGAACTCTCTTTTCAAATACCAGAGCTCTCTTTTCAAACGCAAGAACTTGGTTTTCAAATGGCAGAACTCCCTTTTCAAATGGCAGAACTCCCTTTACAAATGCTAGAACTCCCTTTTCAAATGGCAGAACTTGGTTTTCAAAAGCCTGAAGTACCGTTTCAAAACTTGATGAGGCCAACATACTCGCAACAAGTTGTTCCAACAAGTCTTATATGGTCTGTACGTAACAAATTGTTCATAAGTTGATGACAACAAGCGTGTAGCAACTTGTTACGAACAGCCTGTATTAGTCTTGTTGGAACAACTTGTAGCAAGTCTGTTACCGTCATCAACCTTGTAACAAGATGATAACAACTTGTTCCAGACTTGTCACAACAACTGGGAACAAGCAGTGCGAACACATCCTGATATCGGCTTGACAACAACCTTGTTACAACTTCTTTATAAATCAGTGACTACAGGGTAGTAAATAGTGGTCGTCAGTGGTTAGAGAAACCCAGACTGTTGACAGTACATTTATCTTAAGGTGGTGAAAGACGTTCTCATTGCTCTGGCTAACCAAGACGCGTATTACCGAGTCTTTAACGACTTCGTACGACGTAATCCAAACTTTCTAGATGAGTATGACCGCGGATTGTTGCATAAGACGTGGAGAGCTTTGCTTGATTATGACAATAAACTGAGATGGTTTAAACGCAAGTTGGCGAGCTTAAGGTGAGACTATACCTGAATAAATTATACTAGCCTGATAGCAGGGTACACACTTAGAAACCTGCAGCAGACTTGTAGCAATGCTGTTCGAACAACTTGTCAAGAGGATGTGTTCACACTGCTTGTTCCCAGCTTGTTGACTGCTGCAGTAATTTTAATAATAATTACACACCAACAAATCGTACGATTTTCACGATTCCCAAATATCCCCTCCAGCCTACCTAAGTTGGGGGGACAGGGACACTAACCCACGTGCCTACAACACTCACAAATTGTACAATGTGAAAAGGGACATTGCACTTCCCTGTTGCTTTGGAAACCAGTAATTCATCTGTGTGAAAAGTGGTATACAGAGTTGTTGAGCTCAACAGACTTGTTACAAATTGTTCCAACAACTTGTTATCGTCCTGCAATTCCACAATTTGTCAACAAGTTGTGAGTGACAACCTTGTAGCAACTTGATAAAATAACAGCATTGTTACAACTTGTTGACAAGCTTGCTACAAGCCTATTGCGAACACATCTTGTTGGCAAGTTGTGAGATTTTTACATGTGTAAAATTTTATCACAAATGGATCATCTGTTGATCATCTTAGTCTAAACACAAAACGACGAATGATCTTGACGAACTTGAGGAGAGAGTTTGTTAATTTGGCAGAAATATGGATCAACTCGCATGTTCATGGATGAACTATCTTTGTCCAACCACGTACATCTCCAGTACATATAGGCCAACCACCAGTACATATGGTGAAATATTTGTGTAATATTTTTAGGAGTGACTGTGATTACCACCACCACATTCGGCTGCAAGTTGATCGAGACGCCGTGTTTGAAAGTGCTATGCAGAGACTAGGTCGTTTCAACGGCAGCAAGTTAAGGAATTCTCAACTTGACGTCACTTTCAAAAATGAAGCAGGTACGCTTTTTTCCTGGGGTGTTTTTTCACCAACTGCACAGGAAACCAAACATTAAGAAATTATTGTGAACACAAAGTTGTGTATGGTATATACATGTATCATAAATGTCACAAGACACTTCTTGTAAAAAATATATGATTGAATATTTAAGATCGTGGTCTGTACCAGTGTAGGTAGTGGCAATAATAAGAAGGCTTGGGATGGAACTTCGACGTTCTGAGCGAAGGCCTTTCGTCGTGAAGTTAGTACCTCGTCTTCGCTCGAAACGTCGAAGTTCTCCTTGTATTTTTCAAGTGGTTGCATGCATCCCTATCAATCCGAGGCTTTCTTTGAACATTCGAGACACAAAAACTCTTTCTTTCAGGAATATGCACGGGTCCAAAGAGAGAATTTTTTGTGAACATCTGTAAAGACATCGTGGGTGAAGAACATCAGTTATTTCATTTGACGGACGACAACCAGTACAGGTATCATACTACGACGTACATTGTTAGCTACAAACTCGTTTTCCACTTCAGTCGTACCCCTTCTCACGTCTCGAAGGCGACGAAAAGGCGATGCAGTTTGACTTTGAATATTACTATGATTTTTGGGCATGAATGCAAGTCATAGGACAATATATAGGCTAGTTTGAGATTTTTGTGCAGTTTTTGGAGGCTCTCTGGTTTAAAATATATTTTCTTGACTGCTAGTTTTCGTAGAATAAATCGTAGAGTAAATGAATATTTTGAACCAGAGAGCATCCAAGAATCTCAATGTGCATAATACGTTTCTGTCGGGCTCAAAACATGCACGGAACAACAGATTTGATCATTTCAAAACGTTTTCACTTTCCAGTTTTCTCCCCAATGCATATTTTGCTGAGATGGCGAAGGTTCAAGGTGGGCCAATCAAGGATGAGAAAAGTTCTGATAAGACGGTAAGAAAGACCTCACCAAAAACCGTTACGGTTGCTTCAGCGGACTTGATGGATGAAGGAGGGGACATGATCATTGCAAGTTTAGACACAACGGACGTAAATCCTTCTGTTGAATCCTGTTCAGCTGCAGATCTTAGTATATCAACTGACACACCTCGCGATCCTAGTAGATCACTTGATACACCTCGTGATCCTAGTATATCACCTGATACACCTCGCGATCCTATCGTCGAAACTCGTAACCTCTCCACAACAAACATGGACGAGATAGAGGATGCAATTATTGCTGAGTTAGACGTCAACACTACTGTTAACTCGAGTACAAATGTGGATTCCAACGAACAATCGTGTACAACTATGGAACAAGATAATACCAATATGGATACAGTTGAAAATTCCACCGAAGGCCACACGCCTTCTATGGTCTGCATGGATGAAGGGGAAGATAGAATTATCGCTGAATTAGACACTAGCGAGATTGATGCTTGTTCAAAAGACAGTCAAGCCAATGCAGAAATTGACAAGATCGCTGAAATGACAGCAGAAATGAAGAAGCAGGAATTTGCTGGACATGTTGATAAGAAACTAACAAAGAATATTTCACAACTAAAGTTCTTGGGAAAAATTATTGGTGCAGCAATCTCTGAAGGATTTTTCATCAATTTACATTTATGTAAAGCACTCGTGAAACAGGTGAGAATAAGACAAATGGTTGCCGTACGATATACTGTAGTCATCTCTCCTGTATGACAATCTTAACTCGTGAATATCTTGATGTACTTTCCCCAATTTTGCGGATTTTTCTTCAAGTCCAAAGGATGAACCCTAACACCCTACAGTCTGGCTTACACTATCAAAGTTTCTGTGATCACAGTAGGAATTTTGCAAAGGTAAATTGTAAGTTTTGAAGGATTTGTAAGAAATGTTTGAGGAACTGACTCGTTGTTTAACACCAAGTCAGTTCCCTCAAACATTTCTTACAAATCCTTCAAAACTCACAATTTACGTATGCAAAATTCCTACTGTGATCACACAAGCGTTGGTAGTGTAAGGCAGGCTTGCACCTTGCTATTATCTAACTCTAAGTAACCAAACTTTTTAACTCGATGTGAAAAAGTAATGATCTCGACTTATTTTTAGATTCTAGGTCTGAAACTAAGCCACCCTGATGATCTGAGTTCATTTGATTACAAACTTCACAAAAACTTAGTGACTTTTGTTGTTGAGAGTGATGACGTGGAAGACTTGGAGTTGCCTTGTACGCTCGATGTGTTGAACCCCTGGAATAAACATTTGACGACATTGAAGTTGTTCTCTGATGAGAGAAATGAAGAGCTTTTGAATGAGAAGAATAAGGTTCGTCATACAATGATAGTGAGCTGGAGCAAGCGTCACCCCTAGAGAACCTGCTCGCAGGCTAGCGTCACCCTAGAGAACCTGCTCGCAGGCTAGCGTCACCCGAAAATGGGTATAACTCATTTTGTCCTCATTTTGCATAAAAATGTTCTGTTCTGTCATATCTAAGGTCCGTGTTGACAAAAACGTTACTTGCTCAAGCTTCCTAATATTAAATATTGAAGATTATAATTTGGGTCAGCAACCACACAAATCTAACGTTTTACTATAAGCTGTCTAACAATGCGAACTACACGCATAAAAAAGCCTGCAACAAACCTACATCAGACTTGTAGCAATACTGTTTCAACAACTTGTCAACAGGATGTGTTCGCACTGCTTGTTCCCAGCTTGTTGACAACTTGCTACAAGGTTGTTGAGCTCAACAGACTTGTTACAACTTGTTACAACAACTTGTTATCGTCCTGCAATTCAACAATTTGTCAACAAGTTGTGAGTGACAACCTTGTAGCAACTTGATGAAATAACAGCATTTTACAACTTGTTGACAAGCTTGCTACAAGCGTGTTGTGAACACATCTTGTTGACAAGTTGGGAGATTTTTACGTGTGTACCTGAAAAAGAAATGAAAAGACGTTTAACGTTTTGTGTGGAAGACCTTCGTGAACATGTTAAACGAGGGGCGCAATGTTTATCGCTATGTACAACTGTTTAGGTTGAATACGTTGACTTGGTTTCCCAACACAAACTGACAGTTTTGATCAAGAAAGAAATGGACGCACTTTGTCAAGGACTTTATGAGGTTTGTACATTTACAGCGCTGCAGATGACAGCCATATCTTCGGAAATGTGGCACGTGTACCAGCAAGAAGATGAAAATTAATGTAACTTCTGTGTATTTTAGGTGATTCCAAAGCCACTGTTCAGTTTGTTCACTGCGGACGAGTTTTCTCTGTTGATCAATGGAGTTGGGAAGATTGACGTCGAAGATTGGCGAAAAAACACAATAGTAAGTTACCAAGTTCACTCTTTCCAGAATCCTTTACCGCCTCATAGTTTCAGCAAATATAAAACTAATGTTATAACGAAAAAAGAGTGCCTTTTAACAACACATCTATTTTAAAAACTATATATTTCGAATCCCAAGCTTTCAGTTAAATTTGTTTTTGCTTTTCTTATGTTCTGTAGTACTCACCTGCACACGCAGCAAGCACGTGCAATGAAATAAAATGGTTTTGGGATGTGGTGAAGGAGTTGAAGGAAAATGAGAAAGCATTGTTGTTGAAGTTCAGCACTGGATCGCCATGTCTGCCTGCTGGAGGATTCTCTCAGTTACAGGTATAGCAGTTGAGACATCGTAGTTTGTTGCTGCTCTGTACACACGTAAAAATGTCACAACCTGTCAACAAGATGTGTTCGCAACAGGCTTGTAACAAGCTTGTCAACAAGATATGTTCGCAACAGGTTTGTGGCAAGCTTGTCAACAAGTTGTAACAGTGCTGTTATTTTATCAAATTGCTACAAGATTGTCACTCACAACGTGTTGACAAATTGTTGAATCGCAGGACGATAACAAGTTGTTGAAACAACTTGTAACAAGTCTGTTGAGCTCAACGTCCTTGTAGCAAGTTGTCAACAAGCTGAGAACAAGCAGTGCGAACACATTCTGTTGACAAGTTGTTGGAACAGCATTGCTACAAGTCTTCTGCTGCAGGTTTGTTACAACTTGTACGTTTTTACGTGTGTAGTTGACGTCCATTTGCTGAATGCTTGCTGAAACCATCAATTTTTGTCATATATTCTCCACTGTATTAAGACGCATTTTCTGTTGTTCAGGGTCTTGGCGGTGCAACAAAGTTCCACATCAGTATGAAGTCGGAGTGTAACAAGGTAAGACATTGTTCCAGCGTAGATAACACAAACCATAATTAGCATATTACACGACGCAGCAAACTTCATGAAACATATGTTTATCACCTAGATCCCAACAGCATCGACATGTTTCAACCAGCTGAAACTTCCCAAATATGAGAATAGTAAGGACTTGAAAGATAAGTTACTGATAGCAATAAGACATGGGACTGAAGGATTCTCTTTCTCCTGAATGTCGTGCTTTCTCCCGAATGTCGTGCTCTTTCTCCCGAATGTGGTGCAACGTACTGTCAGTGCTGGTGTTTCGCTGCAATAACTGTAACAACTCTATCAACAAGTATGACAAGTTCTAACATAGTCAATAGAATAAGAAGGTCAGGGAACTCGATGCAGACATAATAGACTTCATTATCTATGTTTTTGTCTTGGTTTATGCAAGAAATGGTCGATTCATCGTCACGTGTGTATTGTTTTTTTCGTCCAACCAACCAATAGCTGTGTGTTGATTTAATTACAGGTCTTGATTATTACACAATGGTTAAATGAAGACATAGCTATTGGTTGCTCTAGCGAAAATACAATACACACGTGACGATGAACCAACCATTTATTGCATAACCCAAGACAAGAACATAGATAATGAAGTCTATTACAGTAGGTCTGCATCGAGTTTCCTAACCTTCTTCTATTGACTATGGTCCAATGGAAGGATTGTCATATGTTACACAGAAGTTGGTAAAAATGATTGAACTACATGGAACAGTTCACAGGATAATACTAGGTTATAGCACTAAATGAAATATAGAATAGGAGCACTTGTGGATGCGACATTTGCCGAACGCACGTTTGTAAAATGGTTTTAAATCAGCATTAGCAGCCTTCATCAAAACTATAAATCTAAAATATTCAGTCCACATAGAAGTTACAATACGAAATAATTCTTGTTGAGTAAATAATTAACTGCGCTTTCCTCTGACGTCAGGCTGTTCAACATTGCGCCCGTGCACATTAGCCGCTGAATGTTATTTCTAATGACGTCACATTTACTATGCGCATGATAAATATGCAAGAGTCCTGGGTCGGCTGCTCGTATGACGTCATAATTATGTCTTGATATAAATTTTTCAAAAAACTGTATATCTTCGTAACCCCATTCTTTGATCCCCACGTTGAATCCACCTATGACTATGACGTCATCGCGGTATGCACACACCGGTCCATACGAATATAGAGCCCAGTCCCCAACCTCTCGGTCAAATGACCGGAAGTAGCTGGTTGAATTGAGTTTAAAACCAAGAATCTTGGGATTGAATAATTTAAACATCACTGGGAAATAGACCCGTTTCTTAGCAACGGTGTTATGACGACAGCGCTGTAGAAATTCTATGTTGAATGTTAAATCGACGTCCGCAAAGAATAACAACTTGTTGTCTTGGTAGAAATCTACCGCAGCCTGCAACGCCCGCGCGCGGGCAAACTTCCCAGGCAGGTTGAGCCAAGTGAAGGTTGAACCGTTGTACGTCATGTTATATTTGTCAAATATTTTCTCGTGTTCTGCAGACGATGCTGTTTCTGGGAAATACACAACAAGGATGCTGATTGGCTCATGTTTCTGTAATATATTCTGTTCTAAGTTTTTCATGAATTGTTTGAAGTTCTGCAGTCTTCCCGCCAGTGGTACGACAACAGTGACTGTCATTTTCTGAGAATCTTGGAACATTCTGCTTTGTAAAGCGCCAAACTCTTGGCTAGATCTTGCAATATGACGCTCTTTGTTGGTGAAAATATTTAACCGATATTGCTGCCCGCTGATTGGTTGATTCAATACATACCCATAATACAATGCGTGGAACTGTGTGTTTTCGTGATGAGAATTGCTGATTGTCTTCATGACTGTCTTAATTACCCTCGTTATCCCCTTCAGTTCATGATTGTGCAATGACCAGGGAACTTTGCTGTTCACTGGGAAGCTTTTACCGAGAGTAAACATTGTTCCAAATTCTACTTTCTGCTTAGAACCTTTATAAGCTGTTGTTCTTATCTCTGCTATCTTCTCGTACACTGAACTGGATATGAAACCTTGAAGCATGTTCAATTTCGTTTGGAGAACTTTGTAGTTTTTACTCAAAGCACGTACTCTCTTCGTCAGTAGTTGCACGCGTAGTCTGTACAGACATTCCAGGTTATTTGATAGATCAGCTGTCATTGTCTGTATTAGAAGGTCTTTATATTGAGTTCGGCAAATGACAGGATTTAAAATTTCCTCACTCTCTGTGCTGTTCTGTTTGAAAAGAAAAACTATGTGAATTTTATGTTTGAGTTTTTTAAATCAACGAGCATGACGAGTTTTACTCTACGAGGGTTTTAGTACGAGTGCCACATTTATTGCCACTTTTGGAACCGAGCAATTCATCCCAATCTTCCCATTACATGTATTTGCCGTCAAAAGTAAGATTAATTAAGAGGAGATGCTAATGAGTTTAATATACTACTTGGTTATGACATTCAAAATTTTAATTTGATATGTTTCTCAAGCGGCAAACTTAAAACTTATGTGTAGTGCTTTATCTGTGGGATTATGCTGAAATGAAGATATTTTAGATGGTACGCCAAAGAGAAAATGATGTCTGAAGTTCAGCTTATATTGCTGTAAATAACTTGAAAAGCATCATTGATAATTGTATTTTAATTGACAAATTTTTCCTATTATTTTGTGTTTCTCAACCAGCAAATCATTTAAGAAGGTTGCTAACTGTATAAACTAGAAAATAAAGCTAAAACAAAGCAATTTTGAGAGGAACGCCAAAACGTTTTGAACAATTTTCATCGCAAAATAAATATAGTGAACAATTTAGTGACTCTCAGTTGTCTTTCCTAAGTTGACCAGCATGCACTGTCACCTGATGAAAATATTAATATTATCATTGAAGAGTTTTTTAATTACCGTGAAATCGTTAAACCAAGAAATTTTCACTCTCCTTTGAAAACATTCCCGATCAACAGTTCTTTTGTTCACACACGCTGCTGTTAAACTTGATAATTTCTGCAGGAATAATCTGCTCAATATTGTCCCAGGTTGAAACATACGAACTATGTCCATATTTGACATGCGATACTCCTTTGGTTTCCCAGTAGAATGATCCATTTGTATCCTACTGTTTCCCCTTATATCAATGCGAGATCCGTTCTTTTGCCCATCGTGCCCATAGTCATCAACCCTGGAGTCCGTTGGTATTTCTGGTAGAAATAAATACTCCTTGGAGTCGTTTAAATTTCTCAAGAACCTCAACTTGTCTATATTGACGAAGAAGCTGCTTTCTGTGAACATAAACCAGTTGAATTGAGTGTCATAGTGTTGACAAACATACCTAAACATACGTAAATATATCACTTCGGTTGAAGCGTCCAAACCTAGATAGATCACTTGTCTGTTATGCAAAAAATTGGTTGATTCAGTTGTGAAGAAAATAAATCTGATATTTGTTTCAGCGCTAAAATCATTGTAGAGAATGCCCGTCTTCTCGTCTGTATTGATGAAAACTCCAACTAACAAGAATTCTGTATCATTTTCGACTTCCTGCTCCAGTGTCTCTCGGCGAGTGCGTCCAGCCAAGTACACCATATGCTGACATTTTAAAACGTGGTGAAGAATTCTCGCATTCCTACTTAACCAAAATCCCAGACTCAATCCCAGAAGAAATGCAACAACTAGAATTAAAGTTTGTCTTTTTCTGACCATTCCTGCTCATGGCTACAAAGCGATGCAAATACGAAGCAAGTTCCTCATACCTTCTCGTTAGCATTTCTAATGTATCAATATTCTCAGTTGGCGGTCGTAATTCTATTCTTTTACCTTGCATGCAACAAAGATTTTCTTTGTTTCAAAAGTGGCGGTGTTAGCAACATAATCAACAAGTCAAGTAGATTAACATAAACAGAAAGTGCAATGAACTGTACAAACATGTAGCCCGTGTATGTATTGCTCTTCTCTGTGTCATTCATATTCTACAATAAACTTCCGTGGTTTGTTGCCTAAACTACCTGAAAAAATGAAAGGTCTGTGGCAATAATAAGAAAGCTTCGGATTGATAGGGATACAACTAAATGAAAAATACAAGGAGAACTTCGACGTTTCGAGCGGTCCTGACTTCCCATGCAACGAAGGGTAGACGAATTCCTATCATCCTCGCAGTGTCAGCCGGGAGACCCCAGGTACCTGAAGAAATTCGAACGAACTTTTCGTCAAATGAAAATCAGCATATTTTCCAGACAAAATACCGAGGATATAAAATTGTATAATGCAACTCATAAATGACAATATCAAATATGTATTAAACAAACAAATACGACTATAACATATAATAACATAATAGTAAAAATGCTGTGCTGAGTGGTTATATTACTACCTTAAAAAATAAGCAGAAACTCGACGTTTCGAGCGAAGGCCCTTCGTCAAGAATTAGTAATATAACCAAGAGGTAGTAATATAACCACTCAGCACAACATTTTCACATTGGTACTACCTACACTGGTACAGACAGTTTTAGTATTATATAACATAATAGTACAATCTCGTTCCTAGGTAGGAGCTAGTCACGTGATCTGCTAAAATCTAGCGGATTTGTAATTGATGGTGATGATTTTGATAAATATTTGATATTTTTAGTTTAATTTATAACTTGCATTTTGTTTTGCAAGTTTGATTTGATTTTAAAGGAATCCAAGATAGTTAATTAACAATCTGCTAGATTTTACTAGACACGTGACCAGCTCCTACCAGGGTCTTTCCTCCACAAGAGGCAAGAGCCTGGGAACGAGGCTGATAATAGTACAATATATATATCAATAACATACAAGTCTAAAGTCAATATCTCGCGTTAATAGTTTTACTGCGCAACACAATAGTTTCCGTTCATAAGAAAGTGTCATTTTCATGTAGTGTCTGTTTATATATACAGTATATATATACCCCATCCATTGTTTTCGTAAGTGAAGGTTTAGTTGCAGTTTCATGTAAGCAGAAGTCACACGGACTACTTTGCAACAACTTGCTCATCTTAAATCTAATTCATGTTTAATAAAACAAACTGCTGAACAGAAGACTGCATATATCATGGATGTGTGGCAATGTTTCGCTACAAACTCCACCGTGTGTCCTCGCCTCGTAAAGATAGGGCCACGATATTTCTCAACGGCCAGATTATAATAGATTTTTACCTGTAAACCACTATAAATCATAAGTATTCTCAGGCTTAACGACAAACGTCTTTTCATTGCGTCTAAATAATTTTCTAGGTTAACGAAACCAATCTGTGATCTTACTTTGTACCACTTTTCTTCCATCCACGTAATCTACATCTATTACTGGATTATCCCCATCTGTCCTTAAATCACCTTCTGCAATACCTGGTGTATCTAGATCATCCCTTCGATCGCCACTTGTACTACCAGTTGCCATCCTATCACCTTTTATATCCCCACCACTCCTTACATCGATTCTTGTGTCTGTCATGTTTACACGCGTGCTTCTCTCTTCATGCCCTGCAACCATTTCTGAATCACTTTCTTCCGACGACGTTTCAATGAGTCCATGAACTTTCACATCATGCAACCAGAACTTTCTCTTCGTCTTAAAACCTTCCTTACATTCATGGCAGTAATACATATGCGTTTTGTTCTCACTGCCATTCTGATGTGTCTTATAATGATGTTTTAAACCATTTCTACTAGCGTGTCCTTTATCACACACGGGGCAAATGAATGGTTTTCCTTCCAAAATCTTACGAATTGCCTCGTTCGAGGCTTCATTGTTTCTTGATGTGTCCGTCGAGGTTTTTCCACCACCTTCCTGACTCTTTCTCACGTCGCCATTCCTTATGTGAACATGTGTGGTGTTACTCTTGTCTCTTTCTTCGCCAATGTGTACACTGCCAGCATCTTCCCTGGAGTCACTATTATTATGGGCGGCAACATCTTTCCTTGCGATCTCTGTTGTGTTATTGGTCGCATCACCCTCATTTCTCTGCTCTGCGCTCATTCTGGTGCTAGAATTTTCCCTGGACTTTTCATCATTTCTTGCACCACCATCATTCTTTGCTCTGATGACTTTCGTAATAAGAAGATCACTCGTTGCTCCGATGTTGCGTGCCGTTGTGATGTTTGTCTTGCCGACTGCACGAACAACTCTCCGCTTGTTTTGTACCCTCACATCATTCTTCCTTGTTTCAATCTCCTGCCTTGCAATAACATCTCTCGCTGCAGTTTCTCTTCTATCAACAACTTTCTTTTGTTTATTCCGTCCCTCGGTGTCTTTTCTCTTTCCACCAAGAAGTTGTACAGGACGGCCTTTCCTCTTCTCACCAACTTGCGTAATTATTTGTCTCGCAGTGTTGCTCGGTTCAACAACTCTCTTTGCTTGTCTTCCCTTCTTTGCTCGACTACCTTTCTTTGCTCGACTACCCTCACCATGCACTTTAACAACTGTCTGTGTTTCCTCCATTTCTCTTGATTCACGACTTTCATGGACTTGACCAACGTGTGGTCTTTCTGCATCAAATTGTCTCTCTTCAACATCACTTGTTATTTCACTATTTTGTTCCATTTCATTGTTTAGCTCTTCTTCATTTGCAACTCTCATTTCTTCACCTTCTTCCTCCCCTCTATCTTGTTTTCTGACATTTCCTCCTGTTCTTCCTTTATTGAGCTGTCTTCTTTTCCGAGATCTTACTCCACCTCCCTGTTTTGCACGACGTTTGTATGTCCGTGTTTTCCTTCCTTTACAAACTTGTCCCACGACACTACCATCACTCCTAACCCCACTGTTCTTCCCCAATCCACCTGTCACTTCACCATCCTCTCTTGTTCCACCATCCTCTCCTACACCATCATTATTTTCAGTTGCTTTCATTACTTCACCAACATCAGTCATTACAAAACTTTGTACTGCACCCTCTCCACTTTGCCCCTCTTCCCTTACTTCACCTCCCGGTTGTACATCACCAGTACCACCCTCCTCATTACTTCTGATTTCCCTTCTTACCTCACTTAAATTTTGCACTTCCCCCACTCCACCATCCAGCTCTACACCACTCACTCCATCATTCCCACCCACAGTAACTCCAACACCCTTACTAACACTCTCCCTTACTTCAACCTCCTGCCCCACTCCACTATCAGCCACAGTTCCCTCCAGTCCCAAGCTGCCATCACGATGCATTTTCTCGTGTCTCTTTGCTTCACGCCCTGTAGCAAATTTCATGTCACACAAACTACAGCCATGCTTGGGGTTGACATGTGCATGTTTGATATGCGACTTCAAACTCTTGCTGTATGAAAATCCCCTCTTGCAGACATGACATTTAAAATATTTCCCATCTGGCACCTGGTGTGTTAACATATGTTCCTTGACTTCAGAGCCAGTGCTGAAACGTCGATTGCAAATTTGACACTTAAAGCGTTTCTCCAACGTATGTGTTTGTTCGTGACGTTGACGATTGTTGCCTTGCTTGAATGCTCTATCGCAGTATCTAAAACAAAAAGAAAATCGTCAAATTGTTGGATTTACAGTCGTCATTGGCGACATTTCAATGCATTTGTGCCACTCTCGTTTGGCAAACTGGACACAATTTTGTAGTTTTTGAAAGTGAATAAAACTGTGTTTGAAAAATTGGGAATATATCAACTACTGGGCATATGCAATGTTCTTGTCAATACGGACATCACCCAACAATTGCTACAACTAATTTTAAGGGCATTTTGCATCATATTTCTTGTGTAAGGAAGAAAAACACTTTAAAAATCTTATGTTTTGTGAAGATTACCACAAAACAGTTTTTAATCAAAACTTTATACAAAACAGTTTTTAATCTAGTCCCCCCTTGGCAATCTGACGTCCATGTTGAAAAACCCATTGCCGGCGCTTGGTAATAACCTGCATTTATAAGGTGCTTCTCCAGTGTGTGTACGGGTATGTTTGACTAGATCCTCAGCTCTACGGAAAGCTTTGTCACATCTAGGACATGCAAATGCACGTTCATCTGAGTGCACCACTTCATGTTTTTGTAACAACTTCTCATTTCTAAATGTTTTGTCGCACTGCGGACATTGTTTAGGTTCTGCTCCACTGTGGATTTCCATGTGTCGCTTTAAGTTTGCTTTCGAAGCAAATGTGTTCCCACATTCAGGACATTGAAACTCCGTCTCAGGTCCAGTACAGGTCAGGGTGTGGGACTCTAGCTCTGATTCAGCACTAAAGCATTTTTTACAAAGCTGACATTTGAATGGTTTGTGTACGCGATCAATGTGTCTTTTCATATCTTGCACTCTGCGAAATGATTGTGAACATTGCCCACAGGAATACGGTCGAACTGTCTGATCACACTTCTTATCTTGTGAACTGTAACAAAAAAGTAAAAATTAGTATTATTAGTTTACACTGTACAGGGCACACATATGGGTCCAGTGTAGGTGGTATTCTACAATAGTCTGTTGTGGGTTTTTTCTGAACTACCGTACCTGAAAAAGATATCTCAAACATGGTGGTCCAGTGTAGGTATTCTACAATAAGCTGTCATGGTTTTTGTCTGAACTACCTGAAAAATATCTTCATGTCTAAACAATCTGAAGAAGATATCTGAAAATGTGGCCAGTACACAATCTTTTACAGGTAGCAAGTAGGTCTTATATACCATACAAAATATGTTGCTGGTTCAAGTGAGGCCAAAAGCTACTGTTAAAAGTAAAGTAAAGTTAGGCGGAAATTTTATTTTAAAACTTTTAAAGTTTTAACAGTAGCTTTTGGCCTCACTTGAACCAGTTGCATTCATATAATGCTACTGAAGGACAACTTTGTACGTTTAATAAACAATACAAAATAGATTACTTGTTTGATGCAGACAATGTGGACACAGCATTCTGTTGTTCTGCTGCACCCTGTGTTTCAAACAAACTATTCTGTTCCAATTCTTGTTTGTTTCCTTCCTCTGTGTGTCCATCCTCTTCCTTTCCTGTTTCTTCATCATTTGTTTCTCCATTCTTCTCTTCACTTCCATTCAAATGCTTTTTCATGTGTTGTCTGAAATTGAAGGCAACTTTATACGACTTTTGGCAGATGGTACAAGTATGCCGTACACCCTGATGGATTCGTTGGACGTGTTCTTTGAGCGAGAATGCTTTAACAAAACCTTTCTCACATTCTGTGCATTTAAATGGTTTATTATCCACAGTCTCATGAATAAGCTTGTGTTGATTACGCTCGTACTGTGTGTAAAATCCCTTGTTACAAACTGAACATTTAAATGCCTTGATAGCTTTGTGGATCAGCTCATGACGCAGTTTGTTCGACACCTGAGAAAAGGTCCTTTCACACATTGAGCATTGATATGGACGTTCCCCACTATGGACTCTGACATGAGTCTTGAGGTATTCTTTACTTGTGAATGTTCTGTTGCAGTCTTGGCATTCATAAGGACGTTCATTATTATGTACTGTCTTAACATGATGATCTAACTTATGTTTGAAGTGATACGCCTTATTACATTGTGAACAAGGGTATTGTCTTTTCTGTCGATGGGTTACTAAATGTCGTTTCAGGGTATGTTTCATTGCAAATTTCTTCTCACATATAAAACACTCAAACTTGTGTGGGTTTGTGTGATGTTTTGTGTGGATTCTCAGACTTACATTCGTCCGAAATGTTTTATTGCAGACGTTGCATTGGAAAGGTTTGATGTCAGAGTGTGTTTCAACATGATGCTTGAGATCTCGTGGACGTAAAAAGGTCTTGCCACATTGCTCGCAGACATGTTCTCGTATTGCAGAATGTGTTTTCTCATGGTGAGCCAGATCGTGTTTGTCTTTATACGTCTTGTCGCAAACTGTACATTTAAAAGGACGGTCAGTTCTGTGTGATTTAAAATGTTGTGACAAAGTGGCTTTATCTGCAAATATTTTATCGCACACAAGACATTTGATGACATTTGGGTCATCAGGGTGTGTTTGTACTAGGTGCTCTCTTAGTAGCAGTTTAGTGGCAAAGGCTTGAGAACAAATTTTACAGTTGAAGCCATTGCCATAGGAATGATTGATTTTGACATGTCTAGACATGCCATACTTTGATTTATAAATCTTTCCACACTCAAGGCAAGGATAGACATCATCTGATGTTTCATTGGAACTGTCATCGCTACTTTCATCAGATCTTTCCTCCTGGATGTCAACACTGGCGATAGTCTCCAGATGTCCTGATTGAGAGATTCCTCCATGATACATGTTCATATGTTCACACCAAACTTGACCATTTTCACACGATTGCCCGCACAAATCACACTGCGCTAACAATGATTCTTCCATTCCTTTTACCCTTCTTCAAGGAAAATAACAAATATTTCAGCAAATTACAAATTAATACAACTTGAAAATATTACAATTTTGTGTTTCATTGAATAAACACCGCGCAATCACAGCAGAAGTCTGGAACTACTTCATCTCACTTCCAAAAATTCCTTAGATTTAGAAAAATTTCCTTATCTTCCTTCGAAACATTTTTGCATCCTGCGATTTTAAAAAGTTATTTTTCCATAAATAACACCTAAATTGACTGGATTTTTAAATATTATTTTAATATTTTCAAATAGTGGATAAAACAAAACATTCCTGAGAAATTGCTAAAAAATTCATTTGAAAAAGTCGAAGGTAGTACTTCATGTTAAACTTGTCATTGACCCAAAGTGTCTAGGTTTTTGAGCCCCCTTTTTGGGCAGGCCTGTTTTTTGGGGGTTTTTTGTTAACAAATGGCTTTATTAGCATGTCTTTTTACACTTTAGTATTGCTAAAGCTTATTAGTTGGTATAAATATTTACATTTGACTGTGGTCAGATAGGTTAATATAAAAGACATGAAAGGAATTCTCCCCCCCCCCTCAACATTCGAAATTTTGAATATTTTCAGGGGGGTGAATGCCTCTCGTAAAGCGCACTATGATTTTGGTAGCTATAGTTGCCAAAGCCACGTTGGAAGTTGAAAAAAAGTCCAATTTTAATCGCTGATCGCTTCAGTTGTTTTTTTTTCACACAGCAGGAGTTTTTCCTTCTATATATGTTCTCGGCAACGTGTGCCACGCAACTCTATTAAATATTAACACGATGGTAAGAGAGATTTTCTATAAATGAGTTTTGAAATATTTGTCTCTCGTTATGAACAAATTAAATTGCGATAATGAACCTCCAAAATTTGTGTTTCAGAATCGGCAGGACAGCTTGCGCTCGTCCGAAGCTTTTAAAGATTTGGCGAGGCGAGACGCCGAGGAATTAATGGCAGAAGAACTCGAGAAATTACTGGCCACTGCTCCTGACAAAATTAAAGAGGTTTATAAATATTTGTTTCGTAGTTTTGGAAATATAAAGTAGTTGTTTATTGATATCTCTAAAAAGTATGACTTGAGTTTTGTATAAGTTTAGTATTGTTTTATCTAAAATTAATAATAAGCGTCAGAAATTTGAATTATGTATATCTGATGTTCAAATATTCAGTCCATGTTGTCAAATAAATTGCATGATTGCAAGACTTGCTAAGCACAAGGTGTCCCCAAAAAATGGAAGTGAATAATACAATAGTTTGATGACACATCTGAGACACAACGTTGTAATTACATATGTGAATATTAAAACGTTTTAGTTCACATAACACGATTATATTTTCACGAATTTGTTGTTTGCACTCTGATAAATTGAAACTTGGTTTGTCTAAAAACACTGTTGCTGAAAGGTTGGTTCAGTGTGCCACATCGGCTTTTTGTAGTGTATCCCACAAAGTCTCGGAGATCTCAAGGTTGTCAAACTACTGTATTATAATTAGTTGATAATATTGCATTGAATACATAATTAACTTTAGATGGTTCTGGGTTTCTTTTGGCCTTGACGTATCAGTCCGTGCCAACTGAAACTTTTATGATTTATTCTACCCCCTCCCCTGATGATAATTGTGCGAGAACACATCTCCCCTGATGATAATTGTGTAAAAACACATCTCCCCTGATGATAATTGTGTGGGAACATCTCCCCTGATGTGCTGAGTATTATTTTTCTAGAAAACAAAGAAAGAATTCAATCAATTTCAAGAATTATTCTCAAGATTTCTAAAGGAAGCTGGCAATGCAGTGGACTGGAGCAAAATTAAGCCACCTCCTAAAGACAGAGTAAGTAATTGTGGTTATACAAGTGATATACATCAACCTCGCATGTTTAGATTAATTGTTGTTTTATTAAGCCACCTCCTAAAGACAGAGTAAGTAATTGTGGTTATACAAGTGATGTCAACCTCGCATGTTGAGATTAATTGTTGTTTTGTTAAACCACCTCCTAAAGACAGAGTAAGTAATTGTGGTTATACAAGTGATATATGTCAACCTCGCATGTTGAGATTAATTGTTGTTTTATTAAGCCACCTCCTAAAGACAGAGTAAGTAATTGTGGTTATACAAGTGATGTCAACCTCGCATGTTGAGATTAATTGTTGTTTTGTTAAACCACCTCCTAAAGACAGAGTAAGTAATTGTGGTTATACAAGTGATATATGTCAACCTCGCATGTTGAGATTAATTGTTGTTTTATTAAACCACCTCCTAAAGACAGAGTAAGTAATTGTGGTTATACAAGTGATATATGTCAACCTCGCATGTTGAGATTAATTGTTGTTTTTGACATCACGTGAGGTAATTCCAGAAATGTCAACAACTGAACACAGCCTGGCTATTTGTAGGATTATATATTTATTTAAATTGTCAAATAATTGGCAAATATTTGCAAGAATATTTTCTTAAATTGAGAAATTCATTTACTTACACTACAAGGTGCACTCGTCTTTATGTGTTAGTTTGGAGCAAGTTTTTGTTTACACAGATTATCTCAAATAAAATAATCTCAGTGTAAGACAACATTCTAGATGAATTGAATGAATATATATATTGAATTAGTGACCGTGCCTGAATGTCCAAACAAATATCGCTCTCAACGTTTTTGCATGAGATGGTTGCATATCATGTGCAACTGCTGTAAAGTTCTTTTGTTATAGGAATAGACAACTGTGGATATTTGAGCTTTCAACAAAGTTGTCATCCAGTCACAATTCAATAATCAAATTATTTCATTGTTTTTGTTCTTTTTTTTAAAAAATTCCTCTTGCCCAAATAATGGGTCATTCCAGAACACATCCATACTCCCCACACAGTGGAAAGTAGAAGTTAACCTTCTACCCCATTCAGGTGTCCTAATACATTTAATATCAGAAAAAATTCTGCAAAATTTCACACCCCAAATGCTTCAAATCGCATTTCTGGGACTCTAGATTTGAAATTTTCTCTGGGGGAGCCCCAACTGGTCTCACGCCATTGCCGTTTGCTTTGCCGCCCCCCCCCCCCCC